GGGTAGGCAGGGGAAGGCAGAAGGAGGCAGAGAGTCTCCAAAGGTTATCCTGCCCTGCCTCCACCTGTCCCCAGGCAGAGCGGCTCACACCATCACATTCAGCACAGGAGCTCAGACCTCCACTTTCATACAGACAGCTGCTGGCGAGCACATGAAAATTTCCACACCTCCCTTTACACATTCCAGTGGCTCTTACTCCCCAGCAGAGTGATACACATGAGCAGGGAGGGGAGGAGGGGAGCGTGCAAGCAGGAAAAGAAGACGCTCCCAGCCCACCTTTCAAAGGCGACGTTAAGTCCAGAACCTGGCTCCCTCCCTTCACCATCCTGGGTACCCTCCCCAAAACCCCTGATTGTGGGTGCCTCTCCAGGAGGAAGGCGGCCAGGTTTGTCTGGCAACCTGTGGGCAATCCAGACTGTTCTTTTCCAGGTCATGGCTGGAGCAGCAGCAATGGCCTGAGCACCTAAGAGACTCCAAAGGGACTCCATGCTGCCCTGACCATCTGTGTCCGTCAGGGCGTCCTCACCACCGCCACCATCCTTCTCATCTTTACTGTTACTTTTCCTGACCACGGCCCAAGGGATAAGGAGTAGCACCATTTAGTTGTGAAGTGTCCCGGGCAGGCTTGCGTGCTTGAACACTTGGTCCCCAACTAGTGGTGTTAGCCTGGAAAGCACTGGGACTTTTGGACGAGGGCCTTAGCTCTGGGTGGGCATTGTTACAACCCAGCTCTGCTTCCCACCCACACCCTCTGCTTCCTGGTCGTCATTGTGTGACGACCAGCAGCCTCGGGTTCCTGCCAACACTCTCCACCCTGACTTCACTCTCTCCGACTCCACGCTGAAATCAACCCGTCACCCTGTAAGGGAGGGCAGTCACAGGGGCCATCAGAACACTCAGAGCCTGCCACTCTGATTTTGAAAAGGGTGAGACACCATCCCCAGTTCTCTGGACTGGAAATGAGGCCCAGACCTGAGATCTCGCTCTAGGACGAGCCCACCGATGCCCATGCTTCCTGGCTTAAGCCCCTTCGCTGATTGGCACTTACCCCAAAGATGGCTCTCTTTGCTAATCTGTATGGAAACTCTTCTTCGTGCGTCATTTAAATACAACAGGCAAGTCATAAGAATATGTGGCCCTGTCGTACATAATGGAGACAGATACACAGATGCGCACGTGCAAAGACGAGTCGGAGGCCTGCCCCCCATATTGCTGACAGCTTGGAAACTAATGAGCGCCAAAAGTGGGACTCTTATGGTTTAGTTTGCTCTAAACATTGCTTAGATAAACAGGTCTTTTGAACCCATGTTCCTGCAACTTCACCTGTTCTTACATGTATCTCTCTCAAACTGTTCTTTCTTTCTGCTCCCCGGAGGGACCCTTTCAAGTGTCCCTGAGGATTCTGTGACCGTAAGTACTCATAAGGAGCCAGGATACCTTACCTTGCCCGTGGACTTGACCCCCTTCCAGATGCAGAAGTAGCAGATGATCCAGGCGAGCAAAAGACACAAGGCCAGCTCCCAGCGCAGGGACCCCAGGTCATGGATGCCCGATGTAATACCTAGAACCCGTCTCCTAAGAAATTGGGGAAAATAAATAACCAGCTGAAAGACGGAAGGTGACAATCTGCCTCTGTCACCAAGTCTCCTGATTCAGAGCTGATCCCACAGATAACACTCCCCAGGGCTTCCACATCCCTGCCCTCCCCAACCTCTCCATGGCCATGCAAATTCCCACCTGTGCTCTGAGTGCCCCTGACTATTAGAAGACCGAATCACTGTAATCCCGTGTGTGTGTGTGTGTGTGTGTGTGTCTTTCTAACTGATCCAGGATTTCTGTTGCACAGAGAGATAAAGAAGGTGTTGAAATCGGGAGTGAGGGTCGGAGCATAGGCCCACGCATGCAGAGGGAGACCAGCAATGGCACAGGATCAAAGGGAGGGGATGAAGTGTGCTGCCACCGAAAGATGAAGGTGGAGATGGGTATACATAGGAGAGAGATCAGATGATCCAGAAAGGGCAGGTGAGAAGACATGGGTAGACAGGTGAGTGCTGAATGTGTGCAGGGTGAATTGGTGTGAGGGCACAGGTAGACCACAAGGAAAAGCGGGTAAGTGTACACGGCCTGTGGAGGTGCATCAGCATTCAAAAATCTCATCGTAAGTATGAAGGTATAGATAGTTAATTAAGGCTGGCTATGAAGGTTCCCTTAGCTCTAAGTGATATAGGTCTGGGGCAGAGGATGGGGGTGCTAGAAAGCATGCAGAGTCTTAAGTATGCACCACCAATGTTCAAGCTTGCACAGTCCAGACACCAAGGCTCCCTGTATTTAGGGCCCCTGGAATATCACAACCAGGCCCAAGACCTACTCCCAGAATTCCATGACAGGCGAGGTGACGTTCTCAGAGTGGTTCACTCCCGTGGCTGCTGAGTGGTTCAAGAAGTCCACACAATGCTCTGTTGGGAACAAGGTTGGGATGGATATCAGTTAGGGACCAGATAGGAATGATGGGTGCCCTTGTACTTACCCTCTGACCTTGCAACCAGAGCTCCCCACTATTTCTAGGCCCAAGAGTTTCCTCAGGAGCCAGGGTGTCAGTGGAAGCAGCTCCTCTGCCCTGTATAGCCTGTGTCCACTGCCCTTGTTCCCAGTGAGTCTGGCCACTCCTATGAATGCCCTGACCTCCTCCAGAACAACACAGAGCACAGACAGCCACAGCCCACGTGGGCAGCTCCCATCAACAGCCTACCCCTGGCCTGTCCATTGTGCCACTCTGATTTTTCATCCTACAGACAAAAAGCCTAGTCCCTGGAATTCCCCAGTACTGATCTCAAGATGGGCTCTTTCCTCTCCCATTTTTCTACAATTGCTATCCTGTTTTTTCCACCCATCACAGGTGAAGTCTTGTTTTGTTGATTCATCTACCTCTCCCATAGCCAGATCAGACAGTGTGGGGTTCCATCTGCCTCTACTCAGTTTGGACAGAGTGTTTGACACGTAAGAGGTACCCAAGAATGTTTACTAGATGGAGGCATGCTGTGGTTGTACAAAAGCCCCACTGGTTCCCCCAGCAGTCTCTAGCTACACAGGAAGACCAGCCAGTGGAACAGACAGCATAGTCCACACAGCTCAACCATAAGGCAAGGTCTGTGACGCACTCTGTCAGGAGCCCCCGTGGACCAACCTCATGGGCGAGGCCCCATGGCGGGGCTGACACACGGATACCTGTGTTCCAGGAGTTGCTGCAGGTTGTCCAGGGCAGCTCAGAAGTGAAGGAGCTGAACAGGTAGAAGAGAGCCCAGGCGAGGATGATGATGTAGTAGATGTTCAAGTAAGACTCAATGACCACCGACGCCATGCCAATGCCTTCAGGAGAAAAGACAGTCAAAGAGGTCAGCATAAGAAAAGAAAAAGGTCACACAGGGTCTGCCGGTCACGTGTGCCCATATCATCTTCTTAAAGAAAGCAGGTTGAGTTTATTATCTCACACCACCCTCCCATTGCAGTGATAACATTTCCTCCCCACCCCCTCCTTTCTCTCTATCTCTATCGCTATCCCCATCTCTGTATCTGTTTCTCCCTGCCTGCATTTTCTATGACATCATCTATTACTTGCAGAATGAAAAGCGGCAAAGCAGGAAGGAGCAGAGTGAGCTCGGCAGGAGCATCGGAAGCCAGTGTGGGAGAGAGTGACACCAGAAGAACTTGGGCTCCCGGGCGGAAACACACGGTGGAAATTCTCAGTGCCCTTAGCTACAGTGGTTTGCTGGTCCCGATCCCCATTAAGGGTCTCCTGGATAATACAAGAGACCAGCTAATGCCCCAAGAGGTGCAGCTTGCAATCCGCCTCACCTTTCCCCAGTGTTCAGTCAGGCAGCCTTCTCAGGAGCCAGGGTACCCAGTGCTCATCAGACACGCTCAGTCTGGTCCCTTCCTAGACAAATAACCGGGATATCCTGGCTGCTGCTGGTCCTTCAGAGACTAGCATAAGGAAAGACCTCTCTCTGCATCTGAGGTGTATGGGATGTCTCAGAGACACAAGGGGCCCTCCATTGCAGCTCAGAGAGCTGGCCAAGCCACTAAAGGAGGCTGATGAAAAACACCCCAGCTGCTTGTGTCTACACCACAGATCTACAGAGAAGAGCACGCTGCCCCTAATAGAGACAAGAAGAAAAGAGCACAGGGGCCCTGGTTCAAACTCAGCGAATGGCCCTGCTTTCTTTATCTGTAGAGCGAGGTCAATGGAGTGATGAGAGCCCTGGGTAATGGGCCACAAGTAAAGCGCTCACAGGAACACTGACACAGACAGGCTCCACAGACACTGGCATTGCTGTGCTCATGAGCCTGTTTGGGTCATGACAGAGTCACAGATATACTTTCCTTGGGGCGGATGAAGGTCAAGGTTCAGGTTCCTGGCTGTGTCTTCCAAAATCCACACCTAATGTGGCACCTATAATTCTGTCATGTTTCTCTTGACACATCCTTCTCTAAGGGATCTAAGCTTTGGGCCTCGAGAGGCTGCTTTCACACAGCACACGAGAGGACAGCATGGAGAGAGAGGCTGGGAACGGGAAGCAAGAAAAAGCAGCAGCAACAGCAGAGGCAGGGTGGTGGGTCCACGGGCAGAAGAGAGGGAGGATGACGCTCACCTTGGAGGAGAGGACAGATCTTCCTCCAAGCAGTAACACTCCCCTGGCTGCTGTACTGGCCCAGGGCCACCTCCAGGAAGAAGACTGGGATGCCACAGCTGAAGAAGAAGATGAAGTAGGGCACGAAGAACGCTCCTGGGGGAAGGACAGGCAGAGTCTGAGCTGCTGCTGCTTCAAGACCCTGAGCCGCCCTCCAGCATCCCTACCCTCACCCTCCTTCCTCATACACCCAAGACCCACGGTGTCTCCCTCTGCCCGGCTACATGTTGTCAGGGATGCCCAGGGGATGACCCTGACATGAGCCCCAAGTAAGTCAGGCAAAGTCTTTGGAGGGAAAGAAATGAATCTTGAGATGGAAGCTCCAATCAATGAACTGTTTACTGTGTTTTACAAATCAAATCGCATATTAGTTTGGACAGAAAAACATGTGTTCTGTATAATTTGAAATGCTTATTATCAAGATGGCTACATTCTAGAAACAAACAGATGAAGCCAGCTTGGAAGTGTTCTTTTCCCACCAACAGTTTTCAGAGGGCTTTCCTCCACCCCCGGGACTGTTTGATCTGCTGACCCTGCGGCAAGCCCTGCAGGGGCCTGTGGAGCTGCTGCAGAGGTATGGTCTCAGCCCAGAGGTCCCTCATGGGGAGAGGATTCTTGTTTCTCTGCGTCTTAGCGCTTCATTGGTGTTTTGTGTGTTGGACCCCCTTCTAAGCTTCAGCGGTATCGAACCTGAACCCTCACAAACCCACCTCCCACCAGAGAGATCCTGCTGTCACCCCCTTGACAGCTGAGAAAGCTGAGCCCAGGTTGAAAAACACAAGAACTAAGGTACAGATGAGGACGTGAACACCGCACACCAGGCATCCTGACCCTGAGGCTTTGCTCCTGACCACCACATGTGGCTATCCCATAATGCCTCTGAAGTCATCGCTCCCACGGAGGAAAGCCAGGGAGCTCAAAAGGAAAGGAAGTACAGAGCACTGTATAGCCTTCCAGGAGCCTGCCTGCCTCCTCCTCTCCCTCCTCCCTCCTCCTCTCCGTCCCTCCTTCCCTCCTTCCCCTCCTCCCTCCCTCCCTTCCTCCTTCTCTCCCTCCCTCCATCTCTCCCTCCCTCCTTCTCTCCCTCCTCCCACCTTCTCTCCCCCCTCCTCCTCTCCCTCCCTCCATCCTCCTTCCCTTCCCCCCTTCCCTGCTGTCCTTCCCATCTTTTGGTGGTGGGTACCATGTTAGGACAACAACCCAGGGCCCCACACACAGCAGGCAAGGGCTCTGCCATGGAGCTGTACTCCAGCTCTTCTTTCAGAATCTGCTTGGCTCTGTTTCACTACACAAGGTCTCACTCACTCTGTCACCTATCTGGCCCTGATCTTATGATGCTCCTGCCTCAGGAACCCGAGTCCTGGGATTACAGGCCCTCCCTCCAGATTTCTTATAAGCATACACATTGCTCCTTCACAAACGCAATGTACTGTATGTTCTTTGACCACCATTCTAAAATTCTTATTGCAAACCTCTTCGTGTCAATAAATACATGGCACCACTTCAGCGCCTGTAGAATGTTCTGGTGTGGGAATGGTATCTTTTTTTAGTATTTTATTACTGGGCTTTTAGTTTTGTGTTGTTTTTTGTCAGACTGAAAACCACCCACATCCTAATGTACTTGTTCAATTTGTTCCTTAGAACACATTTCCTTAGGCATAATTGCTGAGGAATTCCTCTTTTCTTAGTGTGTACGTGCATGGTAAAGTATATACTGTGTAAGTGTACACATTTTTCATTAAATGTACAAAAATGTACAATTTTTCATTAAAGTGTCCCCAGTGCTGTGCGTCCAGCTCCAGAACTTACTGAAACTCTGTATGCATTAGACATGAACTCTGCCTCTTCAACCCTGTCAATGACATTCTACTTTCTGTCTCTATGAATTTGCCTATGCTGGGCACCTCACATGTAATCAGAGCATTTGTTCAATGAATGCAACCATAGCATTTGTCCTGTTGTATTTGTTTCATTAATCATATCTTCAAAACATCCATGCCATAGCATGCATCATAATCTCTTTTAAAGGTTAGCTAACGGGACTGGAGAGATGGCTCAGCCATTAAGAGATGTATTGCTCTTGCAGAGGACCCACATAGTGAATTACAACCATCCATAAGTCCAGTTCCAGGGATCCAACACCCTCCTCTAGCCTCTGTGTGTACCAGGCACACAGGGGTTGCACATAAACACATGCAGGCAAATAGTCACACATGAAAAATAACAGACATAAATTTAAAAGAAAATTTTTGAATGAATAAAGGCTAACTAATACCCCTTGTGTGCAGATACCACACTTTGAAGAAAGGACCCTCATAGGAAGTCCATGGGTGCATATGGCTACAGGTGCCTTCCTACCAGCTGTGGGAGCTTCTTTCCTGTGCCCCTGGAATGTGGGCTTTCACCCCACAGAAGATGTGGAGCTCTGGAGACCCAGAGATAGGCTTTCCTCGGGCCCTCCTGGGGCTGGATGGAAGCTGGCTCTGGGTATAATGCAGGGAACCCTTGGCACATGGCTGTCTCCTGAGCTCCCGCACATCAGCACTGCAAATGTCTTCTCCTCAAATGGGCTGATCTAATCCTCGCCTGGGAACACTGCCTGGCCACAGCCTCATGGTGTGTTCCCAGCTGTGTACATAAGCAGCCTGACAATGTCCACGGGGACCTTAGCCAACATGGGGATCCAGCGGGAGGCTATTTCAGAGTTTCCCTCCCTTTGCTCAGATCTACCTTAGGCAATGACCTGGCGGCTGACTCTTCCCTGAACCACAGCATCAGAAATAAGACTTACAGAAGGCTTTCTCCAGGATGAAGCATTTCTTAAGGATGACTAAGTTTAGTGGCTCCCCTCTCTCACAACCAGAGATGACCTTAGACATTATTATTTTTCTACTCTCTTGAAAGGCCATTTTCTCTGCAGAACTGTGTTTATTAACCAATAATCAATGAATCTCTCTACATATTTTAACAAAAGATGAATTTCCATCAAGTAGGGCCTGTGGTCAGGGGGACATGAGACCTGTTATCACAAGGAGTTAGAACAATTCTAGCCTAAAGCAAAACAATGACATTTGGGTTTATCTGTGACATCATGTTCCAATATAAATCTATTCCCAGCTTATCTAGAATAAGGAAAGAACTAACTCCTGGTCCTTCTTGTTATTTTTCTAGAGCCCTAAAAGCAAGTGACTCCAGGATGGAAGCCAAGGCCTGAATTAGTCCCTCATGTTAAAGAGGAGGAGAAGAAAGGTGAGGTGGACTGCAGTGTGCCCAGTCATAGTCAGCCCCTGGTAGCCTTGGAAGACTGCTTCCAGGACCATTTGGATGGCAGCCACCACTGTGCTCCAGCCTCTTCTGTGATACAGCACCGTCTAGATACAGGACCCATCCACAGCTTCCAGCTCACCCGAAGAGGTTAAGCTGTACTGTCAAGGGAATGATATTAAAAGGCTGCATACTCTTAGTACAGATATAATTTTTCAAAACTATTTTCGATCCACAAGAGGGTGCCTCCCTCACTGCCTAACCCGTGTCAAAGGGCTGGACACACCTGCTAGCTATTTATAAGGTTAAATACAAATAGGGTCTAGAATGCTTTTCTAAACAATAATTATCTCTAATGTGTTTCCCCCTTCCTGGAACAAACAGTTCTGATATCATAATAAGAATATGCCACTTCTACAAGAACTACCTTCCAGACCCAAGAATGAATCCCACTGATCACAGAGGGTCCCTCCTCCACATTCTTCACGTATGCTCAGATGCTGCCCAGGGTCCCTCTCCCTTTCCCCTCCTTTCCTCCCTGTCTTTCAACTTGTCACCATGACAGGTCACATGTGTTTCTTGCCTGTGATCTGTAGCCTTTATCTGAATGCAGCACACAGACCAAGTTCTGGCTTGCCTCTAGAGCAGAGCCATGGTTCCTGAGAGGCCTGCAGTTACAGGAGTTGAATGAATGAATGAATGAATGAATGAATGAATGAATCCCATTAGCCATTATCATCCGTCAGAGGTAAAGCTAAGAATCCAGGCCCCACGCTTCTGCTTGTTGACCCCCTTAAATCCCACATAGCCCTGGATAATATATTACCCCCAGTTCAGAATGAGGGACACTGAGATTGAGCTGGGACCCAACAGGAGCCTTCCAGACTCATGGCAGCCCCCTTCCATTTGAGCACACTTCCAGGGAAGGAGTGGCCCTGCTGGCAGAGTCTAACCCTCCCCACCATGCCACCTAAACATGAACTCACCTCCCCCGTTCTTGTAGCAGAGGTAGGGAAACCTCCAGACGTTGCCCAGCCCGATGATCTCCCCGGCCACTGACAGCACAAACTCCATCTTGTTGGTCCATTGGCCTCGATCCTTCACCTGGTCCTTGCCTTTCTGGTCCAGCATCTCTCCCTCCTCAGGGACCCAAGAGACCACAGGATACCCATCTTCATGGACGGCAACTTTTCTGTCCATACTGGATAGGGAGACCCTGTAAGGTAAGGCAGGACTGTGAGAGGCAGAAACCTGGTGAGGGGAGAAGAGGGAGTGTACACACACGTAAGTACACACACACACACACACACCGCACACCCATCTCCCTTCACCCTGATCCTTCCAGCCCAGTCTTTCCTATTGGCATATTACCTTTCTTCCCAAGCTCCTGATGGCATGTCTGCCTCAAGTGACACTCTGCTCTCAGAGTTATGAGGCCGAGCCAACAGGAAGCAGATTCTAGCTTGCCAAGTCTTCGGCAGACAAAGCAATGGACAAAGCAGGTTTTTAGGAGTTAGAGACTGGCCTGGCACCACCCAGGGCTAAAGCTGTAATTAAAACCCCATCACTGAGGACCTTATAGCTCAAATCCCTTTCGATTTTTATAACCTGCCACCATCTCAGCTGGCCCTTCTGTCCAGATCTTCAGTAAGTTGTGAATAACAGCAGCCTGGCCTCTGGCCTCTAGACCAGAAGGGCTCAAAGGCTGCCATGGGTGCCAGGGTTAAAGGGCAGGTGTGACTGAGGTGGCTCACGGGGCTTTCCTGAGCAGTTGGGATCGATGGAAGCCTGGTAAACATGGGAGCTGGTGCATTATGGGCTCTGATTGGAAGGGAGGGAGAAGGTGGGACCTCTAAGTAAGGCCAGCTGAGGACGGGCTCGGCATCAGGGTCAGCTGTAGGCCTTCAAGGAAAGCTGTTTCTTTGTCTGTCCTGAGAGAGGTTGGGGATCCTGGGGCCAGGAGGGGTCACTTGGATGGTGGTCGTTTCAAGATGACCTCAAGATGCCAAGTGCCTGGCTCTTACAAGGACACTCTGGCAGGAGCTGCCCATGATGGTTGTTGCCAATCCCTTCCCCCTGAAAAGTCCAGCTGTAAAGCCCACACTCCCCAACCTTCCATAGGCCACAGTCTGTTTTCTGACCGTCCTGTCTGTTTGTCAATTGCCCGGAGGTAAATTGCGTTTGGAAGCGATGGGTTGCTTTCTCGTCCCTCCCTCCACACAGCTGATCACATTGAGGCCACTACTTGGCCCTCCTCCCAGGTAAAAGCCAAGGGGGAGGTGCCCGGCCTGTCAGGGAAACACTGTCCATTGGCCCTCACCTCCCGTGACACTCGGGGAATCAAATGACCAGGTCTACCGCTCACTCCATACTCCTCCAGGGCTCTGAGGAAGCACAAGGGAGCCTTTTTATGAAGGAAGACTGTGTGTTTATTTGTTGGTCCTTTTAACCCAGGCAACAGCCCAAGCCCAGGTCCGTTAGAAAGGCGTGGGCAGCAGCCAGCCAGAGTTGTGGAAAATTTTTGAAGGTGACTTGGAGGGTGCAGGCTACCCCAGGAATGAGAAAGCATGGCAGGGCGAGGTCCTGGAATTGGGATATACTCAGAGTTTAACTACAACCTCTGTGCAGGAAAGGGGTAAGGAGAGCAGCTGGTGCGAACTCAGGGCGCTGGCCTCGGATACAAGGGAGAGGGAGAAGACGGAGGTGGGGGGCTCCAGGCTGCAGAACCAGAGTCCACCGGGTGTTCGGTCCCAGGGGAGCAGCCAATGAGGCCTGAACCAGGACAGAACTGAAGCTGTGGCACCCTGCAGAGTGGCCCCTGAGTCATTCCAAATGATAAACGACCAACAAATAAAGGGCTAATGAATGAGCCAGCCGAAAAACCGCTGCCACAGAAGCACCAGACGGGAAACCAAGTTCACCCCGATTTGCTAATTACAACAATGAGGGTCAACATGTGGGTCACCGTGGGGCTAAAGACATACGGCTCTTGATCTCCACTATCAGAGCTCACCCTGACAGGCTCTAAGTTGCTAGTGGACCCACATTACAGATGAGGAAGTGGGGCTCGCTCGGGGACGGCGGGACGACACCTGACACACACGGCGCATGCTCAGTTAAAGGGATCTGGAAGGGCTGACCCAGTTTACCAAGATAACAAGTGGTAGGACCGGCTCTTGCTCTGAGACTTAGACAAATAGCACCTCCTCCCTGAGCCTTAAATCTCCGAGAAGAGAGAATGACCCCTTCTCAATAGGCGCATTGGCAGAGTTGGGGGCGGGGTGTAAAGGTGAAGAGATGTCAAAAACCATAACAGGTTGTCTTTGCTTGGTAAGCCATGGGGTAGCTGGACTCAGAGCAAACCCCACATAAAGATAAAGATGATCTCAAGAGCTTGAGGGGAAGACCTGGTGGAAAAGGAACGAATGAGGGAATGAATGATGGGGACGATGGAGGAGAGTGGAGTCAGGGCAGCAAACCCAGAACCCTGTCCAGGCCTGAAGTTGAGCTTTTCCAAGGATGAAAAAGAAAATGAGAACCTGAGATGATGAGTGGCCATGGGCATGAATTTTCTACAAATAAAAGACGGGGGCTGGAGAGAAGGCTCCGCAGTTAAGAGCACTGCCTGCTCTTCCAGAGGACCTGGGTTCAATTCCCAGCATGGTGGCTTATAACGGCTTATAACCTCAGTCCTAGGGGATCCTTCTTCTGGCCATCTCAGGTACCAGACATGCATGTAATGTTCAGACATACATGCAGACAAAACATCCATACACATAAAAATAAACAAAAATTCTGCAAAAGATGTTTGAGAGGCGCCTGTATCATAGGTAAGAGTGGAAAACTGAGGCAGAAGAATGAGAGCAAAGGCATTGGAAAGAAGAGAGGGACCAGAGCCTGGGTGAGCGGAGGGGAAGAGGGCTGAAACCACAGCACTGGATGTTTAAGTTAGACTCTGGGACAAAAATGTCCAGGAGGACGCCAGCCACAAAAACAAGCTGCACAGAGCCCTCTTTTCTTTTTCTGTTTCTTACTTGTAAAAGCACAGGGGCCAGTGGGGTAGCACATGCCTGAGATCTCCAGGACTCGGGGTAGAGGCAGGATGGTTAAGTTAGGCCAGGCCAGACCAGCCACACAGTCCGAGCTTGTCTCACAAAAAACAAAAACAACAACAAATCCAAAAGGACAGCTCCGCCCCCACGGTGCCCTTCCACCCTCTAGTCTGTTTGCTAGGGAAGACTGAGTGACAGCAAAGGCCACTTGTTCCCCCCCCCCCCTTCGAAAGCTCCTCTACAGGCTGGGATCTACAGGCTGTCCACCTGCTTTGCCAGGCTGGGGCAAGCTCGGGCCAGGGAGGGACTTCTTCATACTTGGGTGCCCTTGAGCGTGTCCTGGGCTCTGTCTTCAAAGGACTAGAAAGTACAGTCTTAACTCTCCTCTCAGAGCTAGGCAGGTTAGACAGAAGTCAGCTCTGGGTCTAGGAGGCACTCCAGAAATCCTGCCCCCCCCACATACTGCTAGGGTTCTGCTCACACCCCTTCACCCCCATCCCAGCACAAGAGAGACCCAGCCCTGCTCCAGCCCATACCCACATACCAGCACCCACCCCTGCACACCCTGGTGCCATTCCGTCACGTCCCTTTGCACACACATACCTGTGTGCATGGCCCCAAAGCCTGGCTCCTCGTAGCCCTTCACACCTGGTAGGCAGCTAGGCTCCACAGTGGTAGCCCACATCTTCCCCGGCCCCTCCTCAGCCCCAGTCCCAGCCCAGGTGGCTTCCCCTTTTGAGAGGAGCTCTGGCTGCTGGCCCTGGCTGACTGAGAGCAGGCGCCCCCAACCTGTGACCGTTAGTTCCAGATCCATCCACTCACCCTTCCTGCCTCTGGGCACTGACCGCCCTCCCCTGGCAGGCCGATGACCCGCCTCTTTCACCCACTGCTCAGGGCCAGTTCCCCAACTGTGGATTCTCCTGCTGCTCAAGGTTGTCCCTGAGCAGTTCCACCGGGTGAAGAGTGAGTGGATTGGTAGCATAGCATCGGAGCATGCCCAAAGGTGGCCTCCCTGTGGCCTCAGAGGACCGCAGTTCCCTGCTTCCTGCCCAGACACAGTTCTGCCAGGTCTTGCCTCTGGTGGGGCCCTCTGTCCTCCAGACCTAGGGGAGCAGACACTGTGGAACTCCAACTGAGTGCTGTTCCACGTGCTTCCCACTCACCTGCTCTCTCAGCTCAGCAAGAGCTCCTGCGCCCGCCCGAGTGAGTAAGTGTCTCCAGACCTGGAAGAGGAATTCTCACCTTCAGCTCTCCTGCTCCTCCCTGCCACAGCCCCACCCAGTGGTCCTGAGACAGAGTGAGAGACAGACAGACACAGAGAGACAGAAAGACAGACGGACAGAGAGACAGACACGCAGAGAGAAACAGAGAGATAGAGAGAGACAGAGACTGAGAGAGAGGGGTGAGACAGA